AATATCAGGACCTTTCTGTGCTTCAGACCTTCACACACACACACACACACCAGACATCTGGGCCTCCTACACCCTCGTGTCGTCTTCATGTGGCTGTTTGGAGGCGGAGCGGCAGGTTGCTAATGAGTTTGACTAAATTGCTATCAACAGGAAAAAACAAAAGCTGATCTTTAGGCCCGTATTTAGTATTTTAAGGGACGGACAAATATTACAATTTCTGTGACAATTACAGTATTAAGTTTTTCAAGAGCGGGTCAGTTAGTGTTGAGATGAAATCATACAGTGTATATTTACTACACAATAGACTTGTTGGACCCTTCGGGACAGAGCAACAAGCTGTTCTCATCCCAGGGCTAAAACAACTTATGCTGGTCCTGAAAGCAGAAAAATCTATTAACAAGTTCAAGAGAACCAGTTACTAATTCAAATGTCTTAACTTCTGCAGGAAATGAATTTGAGTTAGTTTTCAGTTAAATGTTTATAGCCACTGATTATAAACCGTTTCAAAACTCATATTAACCTGGTGTGTAAGATCAAGATAAAGCTAGGCTTTCTCTATAGATCCACATCATGCTTCTTCCCATGCTAGATTATGGAGATTTTATATATGTGAGAGTTTATTCCGTTTGTTTATTGTTTATCCGTCTTTTCACTGGCTGTAGTTGGACACTTCTTTAGCCGTGTTTCCATCAACGTTTTTTTAATGCGCATTTTGTATCGCATTACAAAAAGTTTACGGAAACGGCAAAATTCAAAATCCTCAATTTCACAAAAAAGCTCGCCTGAAGTGGTTTTTGCCTTTGTGGAAAAAAGAGTAAATGTGCTAAATGGGAGATGGAAACACTTTTGCCGAATTATCGAACTTGTAACTCGCGCCTGATTCCCATAACGTGCGCAGACATGGCTGGAAGCAACTTGCCCGCTTGAAACACATTCCTGAGGACCTCGCTCCATTTTTCTAAGATCAATAGCCATCATGTCCATCCACTGGTTTTGTTTCTTGTTTGAAACCCTTACGTCTTGTTTATTACAGCCATGTTTAATGCAAACTACTGACGTAACTACGCTTGCCGTAGCCTGGTTTATTCGTAAGTGCACTTAAAATTTTCATGACAATTAGATGGAAACATGACTATTGTACCTTTTACTGTCAAGCTCAATGGCCCATCTATGCAAGAAGGTATAATCAGTGGCTGTGTTTTATCTATAAGGAACTTCTACCTTCCCGAGCGTTTTTCTAACAAGGACTCACAGCCATTATGGATTACATTCTAAGGACGTCCTGCATTTGCTTGGAAACTGAAACTGACTGTCTTTATTTCTTATAGACAGACACTTCTTAAGGATATGGGGCAGGTGAATATTGGTCAGTGCCTTTGTTTCTAAATTAATGTATTTATATGTATTTTGCCTTATTCAGTGAGGCTTGTGTTTATTTAAGTAATTAGTGTCTTTTATATGTTTGAAACTTGTCCTTCGTGTTCTTTAAAGCTTGGCCAGGTCTCTCTTGCAAAATAGATTTTAATCTCAACGAGACTCACCTGGTTAATTAAATAAAGGTTCTGTAACTTCAAACTTTGAAGAAGTCAACTTTGACTATACGTCACCTGCCTTGAAAGCCCTGGTGTCTCATGCTGCATATTATCACCTTATAAAGTTGTCATACTGAATGCGTTAACATGTACAGACACAGAAGAACATTTTCATCCAACTGGAGTTGTGTTTGTGTCAAACCTGATGAATATAACTCCAATACTCACTCTCCCTTTAGCACCGGTTTGGTCTTCTCCAACTCTGGTCTAGTCTCTAACTGTGTCTGCCTGCAGTTTGCTGCTGGGCAGGTTGTGCACAGTGGGTTTTCAGAGCTAAGTGGCTGAAATGAGGTGGATGAACCACAACAGTAACAGGCTGCAGGCCTTGAAAGCAAAACAGTGAGCTGAAAGATGTCTAAAGCTGTCTGTATAGCTGCAGAGTTAATCACTCGTCATTCTCATTAAGACTATTTTAATAAATGTAAGATTTTAACAGACTCAATCGGGGTTTTCTGTAACAACTGTATATTACATACAATTGCATCTTGAATTACATTTAGGTTAAGAGATATAGGTCGGCTGTCAGTGATGCTCATCAGAGGTATACTAATACAAACTCGTGTGTAAAATGTGACTTGGGATGATTCGCTCTGAAAGGAAGTAGGACTGTGCCACAGGAAATTTTCAACACACCACACCAAGCTGTAAGCTCCGAAACAATCCACCACACACACTAATTTGGTGTACATTTCTGTTCTGTTCATTAAAATGCATGTGCCTCTTCAAAGCGCTGACGACAATGATGCCATCTGCTGTTGTGTGGCAAGGGTATGTGTACACACACACACACACACACACACTCTGAGACACGCTGATGTGTGTAGAAATGCACATTCACACACATTATTGCACTTTCACAAAACACACACACACATTATTTTATTCCCCATTCCCATGTACTGAACGACAATCCTGCTCTTGTGCACATTACAGCTCTGCATGCAGGTAAATATTCTGGTTGTAGTTCTTACAGAAACACACACACACACACACACACACACACACACACACACACACCCCAACAGAAATTTCAGGCAATTTGCTTTCATCTTTGGGTCATTCCTGCAAGCCCAAACGTCCCTTTTAAAAGCGAACGCTCCTCTTCTCCTCTAAGTGCGTCGCACAAAGGGCCCATTTCAAAGGCAAATTCCACTTAGATTCACAAGTGCTGTGTATACTCTGGTACTCCAGGCAGAAATTCATCAAAGCTTAATGTTCCCTTCACAGAAAATCACTTAGCGCAGAAGCTAGCTGCCTGTGTGTGTGTGTGTGTGTGTGTGACCGTGTGTGTGTTTCCGCAGCTTTTCCACGTTGTTTGAAGGGCCAGACATTCACTGTGGCGCTGTTCACCGTCGGCCAGATATACTTCTGTTCGTATGTTCAGATTCATTACAATAAAAAGGTTTGTTTGAAGATGCAAAGACAGGCTTTCAGGAAAGCTAAATTAGAGACTAAAGCTGTTGGTTAAGTTTAATTTGGTTAGTTGGTTTAGTTAACAATGGGAGTATTAATACAAACTTGCAAACGTATCCAAAAACAACCTGGTAATCTAAGAACAACATAAAGGAAGTGATGCTTTAAAGCTGTAACATGCTACTTTTTGAAGCTGAACATTTTTTTAGAATTAGTTTTGTAGTTAAGTATTTACATTTTTTATTATTATTATAATAATTTGGCTCATTATACTAAGCCTTTAAAGAAACAAAAGAAGTTTTTTGTCCCCTCATCTTGTGCATTACATTTACATTTATTCATTTAGCTGACACTTTTGTCCAAAGTGACTTACAATTGCTATACATGTCAGAGGTCGCACGCCTCTGGAGCAACGAGGGGTTAAGTGTCTTTGCTCAGGGACACATTGGTGAATGGGTCACAGTGGGATTCAAACCAGAGTCTCTTACACCAAAGGCAAGTGTCTTATCCACTGCCCCAATACCACCCAGTGATGGCGCAGACAAAATCTAAAGAAGTCAAATCTGTCTGCACATGTTTAAATGGATTCAACTTCACATTTAGTTTACTTATCCTGATGTTGTTCGTCTCCCTAAATGCACAGAGACAAGAGGAAGAAGAGGAGAAACTGCAGGAAAATCAATGAACACATATGGACTTGTTTATCTGAACGCATCTTAGATCCAAGCTTAGCAGAAATACCACAGGAGCCATCTCACAAGCTCAGGTTTTGCCACTGTGAGCTGACTGAACCAGGCGTCACCTTTTACTAATCACACGATGACGTCGCTGGAGGTCCAGCAAACTTGTAAATCTGTTAAATCCACTTGATATGAAATGAAACGTGTGTCAGCAACTTGAAATTTATTCAGAAACATTCTGTTTTCCGACCCTTTTGAACAGAAAGCGAACACCAGTGACAGCTCAGCATTAATGCATTATAAACGGCTCACGCTGATGCCAGAAAACTGTCAATCATATGTCGCACAGTTTAGCTGAAACCACGTTTGTATCAAGCTAATGAACGCTGACATCCCACAATGGGAGAAAAAGCTTTTGGCTGATGCAACAAACGTTAACGGCTGTTTGGACTGAAAAATCTGGCACATTAAATTCACCAGAGAGGCTTTAAAGTCGCAAAACGCATTTTTTTTTTTTTTAATATTAGAGTATTCTGTGTACGGTTTTCATTAGGACTTTTCTTGGTACAAAAAAATGTTCTGGAAAAAGTTCATATGGTTCCTTAATTCGAGCTTCTTGCTACAAATAATGGATGAAAAGCCTGCTATGACACCACAATGAAGGACATTTTTAAACCTAAAAAAAGATTAATTCTTCAACAAATCATTGCTATCTGGTTCCTTAAAGAGTCTAAAGTGTTTAAAGACATCCCCTGTCCTCCAACCATGTCCATCCTACCTTTGACGGAGGTGTTGGGCGGTGGGCCCTCCATGCGCAGGTTCCACGGCGGGTCTCCCTGGTTGGCGAAGTCCCTCATCTTCAGGTAGCTGATGGTGAGTCGGATGATGGAGGCCTTGTCCAGCTGGCTGGTGATGGCGCCCGGCAGCGGGAGCATCTTGGCCAGTTCATAAAACTCAAAGTTCTCCTTTCCCCGCCGCGATCGCGCTGCGTCCCGTGACTTCTCCTTCCTCAGAGCCTGCAGCCTGGACAGAGAGCGGCAGAATGTTAGACATCTGATTTAAAAAAAGACATGACGCGCAGAATGTGATTCACGGTAGACTTCTTATTGCACGAGACAACTTCATGTGTCAGTGGACCACAATGCACCACCAACCCCATTCCAGAAATATTAAGTAGAAATATATTAATGTATATCATTCTTTCATTCTGTATTTCAGAGCTGTTCCTACTGTTCATAGTTCAAATCCACCTACCTCAAGTACGTAACACCTTTATAATGTGTATGTGTTCTCTATACTGCAGCCTGCATCTGATTTTTTATTGTACTATTGCATAAGTAAGCACATCGTGAGCAATGTACAATCCTGAGTCAAATTCCTCGTATGCGTACACATACCTGGCAAATAAAGCCGATTCTGACTTGAAAAATAAACGTTTTAACTTTTGTTCACCATGTCCAAATAATGCTGCAGCAAAATACAAGAAAAAAGATGTAAAACATGCACAATAAACTATTTTAAACACATTCTGAAAGTGCTACTCGCAATTAATTAGCAATTTCATCATAGTATGTATGCAGTTTAGGGAATCACGGGAGAGAGACTTTTTAAAGAATGTCAAATGAAATGCAGCAGAAGCCAAGATCTCCTGATTTTCCATCCCTAGTATGGTTTAATCAAACCAAAACCATATTTTTTCAAGAATGTAGCGTCAACTCTGGGTCACCTCCTCCAAATAAGAACTCCTCTACCAAAACTCATGAATACTTCAGGATGAAATGGGTCAATCACCCGGCCAAAGTCTTAAAAAAAAAAATGCTAGTGCGTTTTACATGATGATGCATGATGCTTCCTTTGCTACATGAGTACTGGGTCATGTTAATATGCAGTATAGTGACATTAAAAGCTCAAGGGTCATGAGACTCAGTTCAAAAAAAGGAAGAATTTACAATTCAAAGAAAACTGAAACTCTGTTGAGGAAGATCCTGTGATGCGTTTCAAAGCTTAAGAACAGCTAACAAACTGATAGTGTGTTTTGTCATTTAATATCTACTTATTATAAAATCTATCCAGGCACGACATCTTTTGCATGTCTCTATAAAATGTGTTGCTCTTTCCAGGGTTCTCCCCACCCAAAGGAGATTTTCCTTTTCCAAATTATTTGTCCAAGGACAGAGGGGGTCTTATGTTGTACAGATTTTAAAGCCCCTTGAGGCAAATTGTAATTGTAATTTGTGATACTGAGCTGTATAAATGAAATTGACATGACTGTTCTGACTCGGGCTATTTACTTGTGACCTCCATTTGCATATCAAGCGACACCATGTTGGGTCCCGACTCCAAGGTTGGCAAAAGACGACAAATCAGACGTCGTCTTGCACCGGGAGATGACAATTTGTAGATGTGAGATTATGCAAGTTTGTGGATGACATCAGCTGATGACTTCCAGTGATTTTTCCTTCCTCACAGTTCACTCACATGACTCTTTCATATCAATATAAAGAACTTCAACGATCGCTGAGGGGAAACTCCGCCAGCAGACATCTCCTTCGTCCCTGATCCTGTCCTTTACTGTATTACCTCATTAAAACTACACTATGAAGTACCTGACACACTCTTTTATTCTATTACTTCCTTTTTGTCCTCCATCCTCTCCATCACTTTCCACTCGGTTACTTTATATCAAAGAGCTGCTCTGTTTATTCTCTCTCTCCTTCTCACTCTCTCTCCCTTTCACCCTTCAACAACAACAGTGACGACCATACTTTCCTGCGGCCTCTCATCATCATCGCACGCCGGTATGAATTAACTCGGCAATAAATCAGCTGCTAAAAACCTCTGTGGGCTTCCTGCCGGCCACACACACACACACACACACACACACATTAAGACAGGTGATTAATTTTTGCCTGAGTAAAAAAAGTGTTGGAGGGATAAAGGGGGAGGGGGAGGATAAGAGGAGGAAAGGGATGAGATAGAGGGATAGCGGAGAAACGCTTTAAAGGAGCAGGAGGAGTTGTTTAGGGCTAGAGATGAAAAATGGCTGTCATCTGGTGAAGAATATTATTTTCATACGGTTTGTCATTTACTTATCAGGAAGAACAAACACCAAACGATGAGAGGAGAGGAGAGCGGCTATCTGAAGCAGCTCACTGTATTTAAGAAACATGTTTTTCATTTTACAAAAGGAGGAACGTTTCTCAAATTTAAATCATGGCCTAAACCTGAGAGCGCTTTGATTTAAATTTGGATCTAACTTATGTCCACATGTTCAATGTCAGCTTTCAGAACAGAACAGCTTTCAGTTTGGTGAGTACAGAAACAGTATTGAGATCAATACCCAGCCCTACTCTTAAATATGGGGTGGTGGTGATGGTACAGTGGATAAGACACATGCCTTTTGTGTGAGTGACCCGGGTTCGAATCCACTTGGAGACACCAATGTGTCCCTGAGCAAGACACTTAACCCCTCATGCGACCTCTGACATATATAGCAGTTGTAAGTCGCTTTGGATAAAAGCTAAATGAGTAAATGTAAATAACTTATGACAATTTTTACCCACTGAATTGTATATTCATAGCATAGTTAAAAAGCAAACAAAAAAAGTTTTCTTTTTCACTATTAAAGTGACTAACAAATCTTCTTGGACGCCACCTGGAGTTAGGTGAGGAGTTATCGCTATAGTTTGGTTGACTTTTCTAACAAAAAAAATAAAAAGGATCAACACATTTTAAATGTATTCCCTGAAAGCGCTGCTCTCTGCTACCTAACTCACACACAGGTCCTTTCAATCACTTAATAAAGGCTATCAGAGCCCTAGTGATGCACAATACAGTAGGAAGTAAACAAAGTCACATAAATGACATCAATCAAATACAATAAATTAACTCAAAACATCCCTCTTACAGGTTTTCTTGTTTAAACTAAACAATATGGCTCCAACAACTAGCCTATTATTTACTCACATGTGTCTTTGTGTGTGTAGCCAGCAGTGATGGCTTCTGGGAGAACAAGGAGAAGCCAAGCAGACAGAATTAATTTGTTCCACAAACTTGGAAAGCATTATGTTGATGGACGACAAATACGTCTTCATGTGTGCGTGTTTATGTATGAGTGTGGATATGTGCGGCGTGTGTGTACCTGGACAAGGAGGTGTGGTTTGACCTTGACTCAAACAGACATATTTATCATGTACTGGCTGAGTAGGTAAATGCAACACTTGTTGTGATTGGTGTGTGTGTGTGTGTGTGTCTGTGTTTGGGTCTTATAAACATGAAATGAAACTGTGTCGTAAAGTTCAGCCGGGTGACTTGATGGTGTTTTAAAGAGCTTGTCACGGCAGGCGAGGTGTGTGTGTCATGTCGTAAAGTTCAGCGAGGTGGGTCGATGGCTTTTTAAAGAGCTTGTCAGCTGAAAGGAAGAGATATGCGTGTTTCCGTATGTGCATGTGTGTGACTATTTTAAGAGCATGTAGGCAGAGAGCATGTGGGGAGGTCACTAGGTGGTCGAGCTTTAACGTCCAGGACAACTGGAGGTCAAACTGGCAATCAGAGGGCAAGACGTCAGGCAGATTTACCGTCTGTGTTTGGAAACGTCTGACTCATAGTTAGTGTAAAAATACCCATAAGTACTGATACATTTTTTAATCAATACACTTAACACATACAATTATCATATATCACAATTATCACACTGCTATAGTGTTCCTCCACCTAATTACAGGGCAGTCAAAAGCAACTGCATAACAGCTTTGCTAACACCCACCATGACTATGTAATAACATCCGATTTCTATCCAGTCAAAGAAATAAAAAGGGAGCATCCTTTAATTCAGTATCAACACTGTGGAGCTCTTCTGCCTACTGACGGCGCCATCAGACGGACAACGGTAGAGAGAGTAATACTGAAGTGAAGAAGCCCTCGTTTTCCATTCCCCTTCTCCTATTACACTTTGAGACAATACGACATTTATAAGTTTATAACCTCCCATGCTGTTGCCGCCATCCTTAGTTGCTCTGCAAACAATTAAAACAGTTAAAGGAGGAAAATGCTGATGCTTTGACTGACAAGATGAGATTTTAATCGATGGCTCCTGACTCCTAATGATAAGGAACCAGCAGGAAGCAGTCAGGGAAAGGGGGTTTTGACAGCAGGCCTTCGAGGGAACAGGATTTATGCCGCGTTCCAGACCAGTCGGAACTGGGAAATTTCTAAGCTGAAATATCGGACTTCCGACCTTCAAAGCGTTTCGGCTGCATGGTGCTGCATGACGCTAATGTAAACAACAAACATGGCAGACCGTGATAAACATGTTTCTTTGGCATATTTATGCACAGTTAAACTCTCAGCAGTGCACTTGGTGTTAAATAAAAGGATGGCCATTTTATTAAAAACAACTGATTAATATACGTTACTCATTAACTGTGTTTTCCTTCTAGCTACATCAGCTGGTAATCCGCAAAAGTCCACAAAATTTGGAGGCTATATCTCCAAACGTTTTCACATTTCTGGGCCTTTTTAACATTTCCTTGAATAACTTTTTGGCAGAGGAGATGACTTTCACAGATTGTTTACTGCAACCAGCTACCAAATAACACTGACAAAGTATTTCTACAACAATTTAAATGCAGAACAAGTTTTAATATCTGATACTAGTATGTATTATTTTAATTTAATACTTTATTTTGCCTTTTAGTTTATGCTTTACCATTTGCAATTTGTGCTTCCATGGGAGCTGCCATTGTTGTGCGACGTCATCTGGCTGCGACTTGTGAAGTCGGGGTACAAATTATTTCTCCGACTTCACGAGTAGAAAATTCAAGTGGCATTTTCTAGAACTTTTTCTAGTCGGAGGTTGGACATTTCCCATTTCCGAGTGGCCTGGAACGCAGCATTTGTCTGACAACACGTAGCACAAACTAGTTCACGTGAAACATAGTGAGGACTTAACTAGAAATAAAATAGCTGCACTTTATGCAAAAGCTCACATTTAGTTCATAGTCCACATTGCACTGTGGAAGAAA